ATACATATTATAGATAAATTACACTCCGATACAGTACAAATAACCGTGTTCATCTCACAATATTTGTCCTGGATGGGAATCGAACCCACGACATCCGGTTTAGCACTCAGGGTCACTGACCACTAGACCAACAGGCCGGTCAACATAAGTATGTAGGTACTTAGGTCTATTCATACCATTAATGTAAATCTACCCTACATTCCACTATTTTTTTACAAGTATCATCATCATCTATTTTCTAATTTCAACTCATATCTATTTATTATATTTTTATCCAGAATAGATTTTCTTTATTTGTTTAATATAATCATAAAACACAGAATACTGATGAAACGCATAATAAATAGCCAATTATAGTACAATGTAATCGGCTAATGAAACAGAATATTCTTTGTAAACATACATACACACATATATGATATATATATAAGGCAATGTAGCAATGTACATATAAGGCCACGATTAGATTTTGTTAGGTTTATATTTTTGATTTCATTGCAGTTATGGGCAAAAACGCCTCTCATGAAATTTCTGTATAATTTGATTTCTTCCGCACACGCCGCCCTTTAACATCGTAATTTTACATCTCAGCGTGAGTTTCGTGTTCAAATTAAAATGTTTATTGCGTTAAGCGGAGTTCGCACGGTCTCCCATGAGCGGGCTGAGCATTTTTATTTCGTTATCCCGGACACGCCCATTCACCCTCTCTCCCCGCACCCCACAAGACTCATCTCGCCACGATTTCACTATTTTATGAACCCGATGGCACCCCATCTAATGTCGCTATAATGCTTCACGACTGTCATTTCCGGTCTTCTCTCAATATAATATTGCACCTTGAAGAGTACAATTTAAAGTTCAATATTCTTTATGATAATGATGAGAACTGTGCTCTTCTTATGCGTGTCATAAAACTATTAGCCGTTTAAGCTATGCTTGAAGGGACGACATCCCTGTAAGAATCTTTAGCAGTCTGAAGGAACTTGGGGCGCCATCACCATTTTTTATAAGAAATTTAGGTGCCGTTTTTATACGTTCCATTACGAATTATTTGGTTGTGTTTATAATGTTTTTTGTGGTGAGCATTATATTTCATTATCTTTAACACCTTGTTGGTCGTTCAACCGAGCCATTAGGTGTGTAATAACGTTCTGTCAGCTGTTCTGCTTTGCAGGGGAAATAGGTAGGAATGCTATAAACTTCTCTTATGCTGGGATTTTGTAACGGTCAGTTTTGTATGTACATCATACAAAACTGACCTTTTAGGGTTTTCTTTTCTCAATTAGTAATTAAATAAATGTTGTTAATTTATAGCACTCTAACCAATTAAAAACTTACTTATAAAAAATTATTTACCACTCCATTTATAGGGAATTTACCTAATCGAGATGAGATTATTTTAGTGATAATTAAATACAGCGTTGATATTCTGCCTGTCTTGCTAATCCACACTTCGTTTTTCTTTTACATTACATTTAATTGTAGTTTATTCTTTTCACGAGTTTAGACATTGGGCTTATTGCGTTAATGTTTGGGTTGGCAACGTCAAGATGCATTAGAATATCAAGAAATGATAGATATAGAAAATACTGACGTGGTAATCTTCCATATCTATACCATATCCATACCTATTGTTAAGCAAATGTGTGTTTTCTGGAAGGTAATACAATCTCAGAATAAGGGACCTCATACTATCGCTGTCTAAATCTTGGAAAGAGAAATATTTTTCTCATATAAAAAAGAAACCTACCTACCTCCGTAACATTAAACTATAAAAATAAGAATACCATATAACAGCTTTTTTAATCATTTTCAACAATAATGTAAATCTTATTTATTTTACTTATCTAAATCGATGAAAGCGAAGAGGCTATGGAAATTGGGAAAAAACTTGTTGTGGTTGGGGACACCAAAGACAAAAGATCACATGGTTGTACATCAACAAGATGCACCGAACAAATCAAAGACATTTGTACACGTACAAGGTTGTCAGAGATGCGCTGAACGCGACCTGGTAAAGAAAGATTTTCCGCTCCAGGTGTAACCCTAATGCTGGCCACAATTCTCAGACATGAGGGACCGACCGAGAGAACTCGAAACTGGCTAAATAATAGGCACTTCCCTAAGTGAAGTTAGACAAGAAAATAAGTAAAGTCAGCTTAGAACAAGCATAAACACAAAACTATGGTTACTGTTATCGTAATTATTTTAATATACCCGTATTTTTTAAATTTATTCAATAGAAAATAGCCATGACTTACTATAACTTAGCCTAATAAGTTTAAAAAAAAAGTAATTAAATAATTGGCCTTTCTAGAATATTTTATCTCAACTGGTGATGGTACTAATATTACTATGTTAATGTAAAAGTTATAATAAAGGTAGTGCAAGATCAAATATGATCAAATCGGTTCATAGTGAACAAAAAGTGAATCCTTAAGGATAATAAAGTAGGTGGTATCTTTGATAGTTAAGGAGTTTATGCATTTGACAATATTGTTATCTTTATATAAGAACCGTTACATAACTTTTACATACCTAAGATCTGAGCATTTTACTTTTAAAATACCTTCATACCTATATATCACACATGGCCGTCTTTTCCTTAATTAGGCAGGCCCTGTACTATGGTATCCAGGCTGCTGATAGACATACTTATTTTCTAAATAAATACATTATCATCATCATCAGTCTATTTCCGTCCACTGCTGAACGAGTGAGAGTCCTTCCCCAAATAAATACATGTTAAAGATAAATTACAGTCAGACACAGTACAAATTATCGTGCTCATCACACAATTGTCCTGGGTGGAAATCGAACTCGCGACCTCCGGTTTAGCAGTCTAGGTCACTCACCACTAGACCAACACAGTAATCTGTAGGTTACATACCTAGGTAGGCTAGGTGTTAGTTTTATAAAACTATATGAAGAGTCAGACTCACTTGAAGACAAAACTATTTACAAAAAAACCTATAAAAATAGCTTTTAAAATATATAACTTTTTAGGTCGTTCAATATGATACCTATGTAGGATTTCCATTGTGCTATGAGGAGAGACTGGGACACTATTTTTGTTCCTTAGCAAGCTAGGGCAATTATTCACTAGTCGCAATAGGTAGGTAATCTTTAAACTCAATAGGTATCACATCATCACATCAACAGCCTTTAATAGTCCACTACCGGACATAGGCCTCTCCTTAGAAAGGAGATGCCGGCCCACTATACCACGCTGACCAGACGGGTTGGTATAGGGGTTGTGTCAATTTTTCCTTCTTTTTGAAGTGTTGTTATCCAGCAGAGTTTGCTCCCTTAGTCGGCTCTTACGACACCCACGGGATGAATAGGGCTGGTGACGCTACATATTCTTAATACGTCACCACACGGACATGCCGGAAATGACGAAAACTCAATATATAATGATATATCTATCATCATGACCTCTTTTAGAAAAACTGCTGTAATAAACCTGGCTAAGCCCAGTTTTAAAAGGCAAAACAAATTACCTATCTGTGTTTTTAACTTACAGAGCTTACACTCGCGGCAGGTTAGCATCGGTGTTAAAATTGCATTTAAAGTACACAGATCAGATCATCAGATCAAAATGCCAAAGATTTATCATGATAACAGCAACCCCATATACCTATATAGATAACTACTTGACTCTAGTTTTAAAATCAGTTTAGTTAACTTTTGTTTTAATGAGCGTTTCAGAAAACAGGGTTTTACAGGGCAGATAATTGTTTAAAAAAAACCGTACAAGTGCGAGCCGGCTCGTGCACCGAGACTTCCGTACAAATTTGTAGGTAGGGTAGGCTGGTGGGTTGTGCGGTCCATGGCCCTTTACGAGTGATACTGCGACGACCGCAGCGAGTGCTGGCCATCAGGATCATAAGGGGGTACCGCACGATCTCCTTTGAGGCGGCGAGTCTCCTGCCCGGAACTCCACCGTGAGACCTGGAGGCGAGAGCCCTTGCGGCTCTGTATAAGTGGCGCAAGGAGGCGCGGGAGTTGGGTCGGTGTCCCGAGACTCGAGAAATCGATAACCGGAAATCCCAACTCCGCCAGGTCATCATAGGGGAGTGGCAGGAACGACTCGGGCAACCGAGCGCCGGGCACGCCGTCATCGCGGCGGTAAGACCCGTTATGGAGGATTGGCTCGACAGGCGTCACGGGACCCTCTCATACCGACTGACGCAGGTGATCACTGGGAAAGGATGTTTCGGGGATCACCTGTGTCTGATCCGCAAGGAGTCAACGCCTGAGTGCCACCACTGCGAGGCTGGTCTAAGAATACGCAATGCCGAGTACGGGTATGACTTCGCTTTTATGTTGAAGTGCAAGCTAGCAAAAGGTGCTGTGCCAAAAAAAAGAACGAAAAAGCTGTAAAAACAATGAAATTACGTACCTAAGTTTTAACATTTTTGCACACAAAACGCAAACACAAAATGTTTTGAAAGTATATTTCTGATTAAAAATACAACAATGCTGGCCGGTAGGCAGGAACCTTATTTAGGTGTCAAAGCTAGAACGATTTGTGTCAATGCTAATAGATGGCGTGGCACTTCACTCGATTAGAAAATCGAAAATATGTTCAAGAGTACGCACTCGAGTATGTTGTAAGAGTACGCCCGTACTCTTGAGTAAGAAGGTCTGCAAGCAGTCGCACCAAGTAAAAAAAACAAAGTTCAGCCGTATCGTAGTAGACTCAAAGCCAACGCCAACCAGTTTGTGAAAAAGGCTCGTAGGAAAAATCCGGATTTAAAGTCAGATAAGAAATGTAAGTATATTACATTATATAACTAAGGTGATACAGTTCTAATTAAAGTGCTAGGTAAAAATCTGTTTTATATATTTCTATTATACCTAGGTGCGTTACAATGTAAATTAGGTTCAGTTTTCAGTGACATCGATTATAATGGATTAGTAACTGTATCTATTGTAAACCACAAGACCACAATAAAAGTACGTCAACTAAGCAATAATTCCAAACAAAAAAGTTTATGCAAATCGAGGGAGCCGAAATAAAATGGAGTCTGGTCGTGCAAGCGCGTGCGATCGATACGCCCGCCCTGCGACCTTGCAGGCGGCCCGACGAGTGGGCGGGGCGCGGTAAGAGGCTGGGATTGGTGAGCCCCGCCTACTGGCACTCCCTTCCTCCCCCTCAGGTACTACTCCCCCGCTTCAAAGGCCGCACAGTGCGATCGCTCTGGCGCGCCAAACGACGCTTGCGCCGCTCACCGCACGCCGCGCCGCTATGCGGATACTCGCGCGAACAAGTGACACCTTGTAAACATTGTTTTAATCAAGTGCGGTATGTGTCGCGTTTAGTGTTGTTGGGCACAATGATCACCGACATGTACGCGCCGCTGCCGGCGCCGCCGACCAACAAGACTATTGTAAGTTCTTGTCAGATTGAGCTTTTTGTATTGAGTGGTGTTTGACAGTCAGCTGTTGAAGGAATCTCATCCTAAAAGTAGGAAATAGTAATCTAGTATTGTTTAGGTAGGTATGTAGAATCTGTGGCCCACCGAGGAATATTTTTTGTTTCTACTTATATTTATTTTTGCTTTATATCCAATCAACTGATTAAGAGTGTGAGTAATGTGATCTCACATTAACGAATTGGGGTGTGTTCAAAAAATATAACTTGCATATCTACTATCATATACTTAGGCACCTACCTACTTATTGCTGTAAATATTTTAGTGGTTAAAAGACACCTACATATTTTATATTTTTTGGCGTTATTAGGTATGTGCAAAGGTAAGTATTTTTAGTAGTTGCCAAATTTATAATGAAATAAATTTAAATATCGACCAAAAGTCAAAAATTACGTCGGTATTATAATTATAGATGGAGGTACCTATTAACCTAGAGGTAACCCTTTCCGTCGGCAGTTGTGTAACTAAGAATGCAACACCTAGGTACCTACGGTAATATGGCAAAGTTTAAAAATGGTTTTCTAAGTATTTTATTTGCAGTCAAATTAAATAAAGTAAATATTAGTGATAATAGTTGTAGTAATACCTCGACACATCTCACTTACAGCTGTCTGATCCTAAACGAGGCAGAGCCTGTACTATGATAAACTACCCACTACTAGTAGTTCTCAACTATGATTCTGTGTATTGGCAGATTTCCAATGTTTTATTGCCACATTTTAGGGACATAAGTGACACCATAGTTGTACTATTAGTAGGAAGAAATTCCAGAAATAGGTCCGTAGAGGGCTACATAGATACTTAGGTATAACATATGTATTCCTTAGATAACCTAATCAAAATTTCTCTTAAATAACAATAATAAACAAAAATATTACATAGATATCGATTCTTATGGCTAATTAAAAAGTAAGTTACAATCCCTGGTACTTCGTCATTCTTCTTACAACAAATACGTTATATGTTATTTTATTTTACATTTTTGTAAGTATAAACACAATAGAATAAATCAAATTGGTTCAGTACATTTTATTTAATTTTCCTATCGAGTGAAAGTTCCTATTTCCATAAAAATAAACTGTTAAGATAGCTAATTACATATTTCATTTATAGTTCACAGTACATTAATCAATGCGACGACGGGTTGAGAATGCTAAAAACTTTTAAACCATGTGTCTGCCAGGTTTGGCCGTGTCTACAGGCTAACTACAAAGTATTTATAGTCTAAGATTACCTATATCCTACAGCGAGGAAATTAAAAACGTTATTACGATTGTTTCCTCTTTAGATCGATCTTCCGGCGAAAATATTTGCCAACGAGAACATACCGTACTCCCCAATCGTGCGACATTATTCAATCAATTTTATTGAGCTTTTGTAACGGAGAACAATGTGTATTGTTCCGGCAAGAAAAGCGATCGTTCGATGGACCTTATTTAATAATTGTGATATCTATCGAACAATAGGTAGGTGTATGATTGGTAATCATTGATTTGAATCTATTATTCAATAATACGTGGACTTTGGATGTTTTTTCCGTTATTTATCCAGAGAAATGTAAGTCAATGCACTGTTTAACAACTCTTAATACTGTATTATAATCTAATCAATATTTGTATAAATTTAATACATAATATTTTATAACAAAAAAACTTCTTTGTCAGTCTAGTTTTGACCTCTTTCCTAAACATACATACCTACTAGATACTGTTTGCATTATTATGTTATACCTACTTACATTTTATTTATAAGTTAGTTATATATTTAATGAAATCAATATCCATCGTGACAAATATATTAGTGATATGTGAGATAAAACATTAATTATAACATCTCATATATAACAAGTATAAGAGAAAACTAACGCTAAAAATGCATAAAACAACTCAATACGTATAAATCTCACCATGATCACGAGCGGAATAATTCCAAACCATTCAAATTTACAAACACCGGAATCTAAGGATATAAGTAGGTGCTATTTAACTACCGTACATCAACTGTATAAATCTTAACCAGCTCAGTCAGCCACTTCACACAACAAATCAAGAACTTTCGTCTATCCGCACTTCAGTGCCATACATCGGCACCATTATGCGTGTCTAATAGTTTTTTTTTGGCGTTGGCCCATTCACAGCGAGCCCAGCGTGAAGTCCCATCAATGGCTATTGTGGCATTGAACCGGATCGGCGACCGACAAACTTTTATTTGTAATACTTCTAAATGGCTGTTATGGGGATTAAGGTACTCTGCTTTGTCATCGTACCATGAGAGCCTACAAAATCGCAAACGTTACATTTTGTCGCAGTGATATTATTGTAGTGTTTAGTTAAAGGAGCAAATGCCGTTGCTTTAGTAAAGGACGTCACAATGCGTTTCGAGATCCGTCACTTTTGATAGTAAATGCGCTTTGTGTTAGAGTTTACTTAGGATTAAACACTTTAACTTTGGGATGAGACCACTTACAGGTTAACATATTTTTTTTTGATGTATAGGATTTTGTATTCGGACTTGTCAACGGTGCACTATTATTCTAACTCGACGATATGAAATATAAAGAGTGGTTATTTTAAGTAACTATGTAACATATATTTATTATTTAATTTTTTATAGTCTTAATATTAAGTATGCCAAGTTTATTATTTTTTTATAATTTTAAATGTACCACCAGTTATTTAATAAAGATGTAAAACCACATCAATAGCAAAGTTCATAATCATTCACGTGAAAAATAAACCCATAAACAGTGTCTTAAGTCTAAATCTAATAACAACTAACCTTAGCTTCACTAAGTAAGGTGATATAAGGCAAGAAGTGATACCAATGACAAATAATAATTAATATATTATTTATCTATTTTAACATCTGTGCTTTACGAGAAACTCTCATTCAACAGACCATCAACCCTCACAATATTTTGACGCCATTACAAAAACACATGCTTTAAAAATAATTCTAATTAAAATACTTGTCGCATGAACCAATTATTAAAAATAATAAACATCGAATCAGTAGCTCCAGACCAACGGCACCCGGCCATAATTCTTTTTTATAGCACCAACTTCTCGTGTTAACCCGTTCATTGACAAAAGGTATTTAAATTAAGCTGTCGCAGCGATAATATTTAGTGCGCGAGCGCAACTCAGCGACATTCCTCCCGACCATTAAACAGTCGTCACGTGACGGTTGCTTTTAGATTGATGCCGTGGCTTATCTGTTAAATTGATATTTATGTTGTGACGACATGGTTGAGATACATGTGATGAGATTAGGACCTATATCCTTCTGTATTTGTGTAGTCTTGAAATCTTTGCAAATATATACTTGAATGATATGTTTACGTACCACAGTTAATCGAAAAAAATAGATCTATTATTATTGATTATAATTAGGTATTGTCTGTTAATTCAATTGGTAGGAATCATCATTGCACAGATGAAATATAACTGTTTGGTTTTCGCTCTGCTAGCCCTTGTAAAGAAATATTTCAATTCCCAAATGTCTATACATATATGGAAATATACATTTTTAACCGACTGCAAAAACACAAAAGAGGACGTTATCAATTCGTCTGTATTTTTTTGCATGTTTGTTACGCGATATCTCTGTCAATTGTATACCGATTTTCAAAATTATTTGCAATCGAAAGGGTATGCTCCCGAAGTGGTTCCATTATCACCAAATCAGGGTCTGATTATGGGATCCTAGATAAATCGAGGAACCCTCGAATTTTATAGCCCCGACAACGTGCTTTAACTTATTTCTCTAGCTTTATAGGTATTTGCGTTAAGAAGTCGTTATGCCATGTTGCTGAGCTGATGATGGAAGGGTCTTGGACCTTTAGAAGTTCAAGGATAACTCTTTCAAAAATCTAGTCATGTATTGACCTTATTTTCTTTTTTGAAGATATTTGATAGGTGTTTGTGTTGGGTTACAGAGATATAACCCAACACAAACACCTATCAAATATCGATCTAATAGAGTATACAAAAGAGTAATATATGAGATTACAAAACATTCGCAATCGCATTATCTTCCCATTATAAAGATGTCTTACACTAAAAATGCTAAAAAAACCCCTTTTAAGAAAACGTTGAACCGACTTTAAACAATACTCACAATGAGCACTAAAAATTAAAAAATAATTATAAATCTCAGTAAAAAATCTATGATAAGTACCTTCAATATAACAGGTAACAGTCTCTTCTAGATTGTTTAAAGTCGGTGCCAAGCCCGATTCACAGTAAATAATATTTTTCTATATCAGCTTTATATTAGCACAATAAAAATTAAGAATTCAAATTCATTCTAATGAAACATTCAGATTTTGTTAATTAGTAGAGACCAACAATATCAATATCAATATCAATTACCTACGCAAACTTATAAACTACTTAATAAAGCATTCAAAATAATAATATCATTGGAAATGTGGGTTACCTACTGGTTAGCTGGTTCAGCATGTTTAGCTGGTTCAGCATGTTTTGCGCACCATAAAGATTGTTGCAGCTGCCGCGCTACATTCTACCAAGCCCATCAAGCACCTTGGCTTGGCACCGACTTTAAACAATCTAGAATGGACTATTGCTATTATAATGTCACCTGTTATATTGAGATTAGATTAGATTTGTATTTTTTTTTTAATTTTTAGTGCTCTACCAGTATTGTTAGAAGTCGGTTCAACTTTTTTTTTTAAGGATTTTTTTGGCATATAAATCTTTGAAAATTGGCTCACTAAACTTTACTAGTCACTAGTAGTATACATGTTTTACAAAAGTTTATCGTTAAGTTATTTACGGTGCTATCCGTCAACGCGGCGGGTGCCGGCGACAAATTTAACAATGTTACGCGCTCGTCTGTCGCAGCGATGATAAAAAAAATCACTAATGAAGTGCAAATCTGTCAGTGCGCGTGTTGCCACGATTTATTATCGTATGTATAATTGTTTAGTCGACATTTGGAGCACAGCTTTATTCGAAATTCACTAACTTTCAGCAATCGTTTTGGATGTACTTATTTAATATTTTAGTTATCAAAAAAAAATATTATTAAAAAACTTGATGAAATGTTTAATAAAATATGCATAATAAATTGTAATAACGTTAGTACACATCGGTTAAAACGTACCTATATAATTATTTAGTAAAAGCACGACATATAAATAAACAACTAGCTTATATCTTGACGCTTTATTCAAAGATACAACTCCTAGTATTTCAAAGTAATACATACCTGTAGTAACAAGAGGGTGTACAAAGCCTTATGCCTATTAAAATTACTAGTTAACGGCGTAGGCCCTATATGGCTTATTATTGTAAAGAACATGCACATATTGGATACACACATTCCAACCACAGTAAAAAAACAGTTTCCTCTTGCAACCACAAACAACCTTTTTTTTACTTCTAGGACTTACACATAATTTTTATACCGTTATGAATAATTATGGTATCTAAGTGCTAATTACGACTTTCTTGCTCTCTTGTACATGTCTCATGTACATATGTTGTTCCAGTTGGTTTCAAATGCGTCCCTTTATTACGTTATATTTTATACCTATTGACTGATAATCATCATCATCATCAACAGCCTTTAATACTCCACTGCTGGACATAGGCTTCTTCTTAGAAAGGAGGTTTTGGCCTACTATACCACGCTGGCCAGACGGGTTGGTATAGGGTTTGTTTCGGCTGTATACGGGGGTTGTCCGGTCAATGGCACTGTACGGTGCACCGGTGTGGGCGGCGGCTCTGACCGCCCAGAATAGGGTACGCCTCTGGCGCCCTCAGAGGGTAATGGCGGTCAGAGCCATACGCGGTTACCGCACCGTTTCTACGGAGGTGGCGTGCGCGTTGGCCGGAACTCCCCCGTGGGATTTGGAGGCGGAAGTGCTCGCCGAGGTTTATCGGCGAGTGGCTGACTCCCGGGCGGAGAGCGGATTTCGCCCTCCGCCCGAGGATGTGCGCGAGTGGCGCGAAGCCGCTCGCCGAGCCACGATGGCTCGTTGGTCGTTCCGGCTGGAGACTCCACGCGCTGGCTTCGCCGCCGTGGAGGCTCTCCAGCCGGTCATCGCCGAGTGGGCAGGGCGGCAGCACGGGACCCTTTCCTTCCGACTGACGCAGGTGCTTTCCGGGCACGGTTGCTTCGGAAAGTACCTGCACACGGTCGCTAGGAGGGAACTGAGTCCCGCCTGCCACCACTGCGACTGCAGTGAGGACTCGGCCCAGCACACGCTGGCGGTCTGCCCCGCATGGGCGGCGCCAGCGCCGGGCCCTCACTGCAGTCATCGGGGTGGATCTCTCGCTACCGGCCGTAGTACGCTCCATGGCCGGTAGCGACAGTTGTTTTACCGCGGTCGCAACCTTCTGCGAGGTAGTAATCTCGCGGAAGGAGGCGGCGGAGAGGGCCCGGGAGGACGACCTCCACTCGGACCCGATCCGCCGCCGGCGAACCGGGCGGCGGAGGCCCGCCTACCACAGCCTCATGCCGCCCTGAGTGTGGCCGCGGGTGGACGGGGTGGGTTTCCCCTCCACCCGCATTAGTTTGGCCAGCCGCGAGGGGGCGGCGTCCGCGTGTGCCGGACGTCGCCTAAAAAGAGAGGAAAAATATCGAGACGGAGCCCGCACCAGGAGCGGGCTGGCGCTAGGAGGGGTCCGGATGTCTTAACAACAGCTGTTCCCGGATCCCTCCTGTTACAGGCGCAGAGTGGCACACCGTGTGGTTTTAGTCGGTCCGAGTCCGACACACCACCCCGCCGCAAACCCCGGAGGGGTGACGGTCCGAGGGGATTTCCACACGTTAAAAAAAAAAAAAAAAAAAGGGTTTGTTTCAAGTTTTCCTTCTCTTAGCAGTGCTGTTTTCCTGAGTAGTTTGCTCGCTTAGTCGACTGATAATGCTCACCCGTATTTAAATCTCTGATTTCTACTAAGATATTTATAAATCTTTGAAATTATCGGATTTACTCTACTATAATATGCCTGTATTATACATATAAACCCGGCTCTTGAATCACTCTGTTGATGAAAACCACATTAAAATCCGTGCCGTAGTTTGAAAGATCCGTTACGTGCAAGAAAAAAAGCGACTGCATTTTATACTGTGTAAAGATAAAACAAAATCAATTTTCCTTCTAGTTAATTTAATTAATATTTACTTCTAGATGAACTTTAAAAAAATGTACTTTTTTATAAGGTACAAATCTTCTTGATTATCCGACGTTTCGATTGAATAGCGCCAATCGAGGCTGAACCGGTGAGAGCTCAAAGAAATATGCCAAATCTAAAATTTAGAGTCTTGCGTGTTTAAACATTAATATTTTTCCTATTGCTCCGATTTGTCCATTGCTAAATACAAAACCGGTTGACTTTTACAAGTTTAAATAATGATTTTAGTCTATAAAGATTGACATGTATCGTTAAAAAATATTTGTTTACAACGAGTCTTCAGACAACATGTGAGAAGTCGTTAGGAAGACATATATTTACGCACATGAGCAAACATAGTTGACTGGTAAAGATGACCTATGCATAAATTATTCAGTTCTGGAGGTGGTTATATACATAGAGTTAACAAGAAATATTTAATGGACTGGCACTAAATGTCTTAATTCTTCTTTTCAATAACTACAATAAAAAAGGAATAAACGTTTCAGATGCAAACCTAACGATGTGTGATAAAATATTCTCTTCATCAGAAAATAACATGTTAGCAAACTCGCTGTAAATACATTATAGGGAAACACTTCACATCTACCTGTTAATTACGTAAAAACTATTTTCTGTACCTTGTTACGTCTTATAGAGAAAATATGTATCTACTTATTTTCTCTGTTGGCATTAACTTCTATTTTAACAACGGTTTTTTTAATTTAAAATTACTTTAGTATTTACTACTAACACTTTGTAGGTTAGCCTATAATAAAAGTTATGCAACCAACAGCAATCAGTCCTCTAATCATCGCTAAACAAACTATCGAGGTCCAGATTCGTTGCATCTCACAGATCGCCGCCACAATCACCCTCAATGATTGCTCTGAAAAGGGCTCTTATGTACCTCTTTGTTGTTACCGCCCGAAGTTAATAGTGGTCTTGGCCTATGCCGCAACAACTGATGGAAACTAATATAGTCCCTCTAAACCCTCGAGCCCTGAAAGTGTCGGTCCGATTTCGGCGTCATTAATGTCATCAAAATCACTGCAGACAGCTCCTGGACATTAAATCCTCATATTTGTTGGGGCATTTTACACTCTTTGATCTAAATCACAAAGGCTAAAATAGAATATAAATAAAAAAGTCCGATGGAGCAGTGATTTTGCAACTCATTGCATTAGCTGGGCTTGTTAGTGTGTAGAGTGGTATCGGGCGGCGGGGCGCGTAATGAAGGCAAGCTGCAAGTCATGGGCCTAGAGGCGCCGCCGCCGCACGTCAGCGCCGTCATCGCGCGCCCTGTCAATATCCGATGGCTCGACAACGGAGAAGGTTATTTTCGAAGCTGCATCACCACTAATTAATACCTTCTACTGGATACAAAAAGTTTAAAGAAGCGGCGTTTCTATTGTTCTACTGCCAACTCTAAGGTGTGGAAATATTAGACTAATGCGTGTTACATCATTTTGACGTTAGTGGCCATTAAAGAGATCGGAAACTAAATCAATATTGAATCTTTTATTGTAAAGACGTCGTTTCGTTGAAAGGTTATAAAGTATTGGTGTGTGGCCAACAATTAATTAACACTTACTCTGGGTACAAAGAAACGTGGGTCCGTGGTCGCGCCCTGCTGGGACCGCAAGTGCCTCCCGCTGCGGGTCTGACACCGATACCACCATTCATGCTATCACCGAATCGCTGGTATCAGCATAATTGATTGTTATTTATAAATCTCTAGCGACTACGAATTCTTAATCATTAGAGTTATTGCCCTAGGGCAATGATATGTCTATAAATGCATTAATACCATTGCTGTAATTATTTAGTAATTCGTAAATGTATAAAATACTATTGACGTCTAATTTTACGTCGCTGTTACTTTTCCGACCACCATAAAGGCACAATGATTCATCGCGTCCGGATATCTAAATAATTTTCCCAAGGACTTGCCATAAAATTTAAACGATCTATTCCATTACTGTAAAAGCAGCATCCCATACATTGAAAGATATGTCGGAAATTGCAACTATTTACTATGAGCATCCGGCTTTTAAGTGTAAATTTTCCGGTGGCAATTTGTAGAATTCAAACAAAATGCTCCTTGTAGTGTGGCAGCCATTAAACGCACTCGCCTATCATGTTATGAATCCGGATGTCTATGGCATGAGGGGACTTTTGAAACGAGAGATGAAACGGACTGAACGAATTGTCAATGTGTTAATAGTTTACTACAGTTTAAAATGTCTTTTTACAGAACATGAGATATTAAAAGATGTCGGGTATAATTATGTATACCAATCCATTGTATTTCGTGGTTTTGCATGATTTAAACATACATACTGATTTATACAAACTACTATTTGCATCATGGTCAAGATTTAATATCTTAAATCATTATCATATTAGGAAAATTAAATAAAAAAAGGTTGACAATCAGATAAGAAAAAATAATTGTCTTTGTTGTATTACTTAGACAGGTACGCCGACGATACGCCACATATTGTAATATGACAGTTTTAGTCCAAAGTGTATTTCTAATCATACAAATCATCGTGATATTTGTTTAAGAACTCTGAGGTTCGATTTGGGCACCTGTTTTTTGTACAATCATTTTAAACATTAAGTTGATTTAGGTGCATAAATTTTTACCAACTTTAATGATACAGATATACTCGTATTACGTATAATATTATAATAAAAACTTTTGTGAGTAGTATTCATTCATATATATATATATATATATATATATATATATATATATATATATCTATATATATATATATATATATATATATATATAAAAGCTTATAACCCGGCCAGAGCCATTTTCAAGGAGTGAACCGTCGTGCACCACGATGTATATTATTATTAAAAAAAAGGAATTCCTTTGTATATGGTCAATTCTTACAATAAATTTGTAGTCAAGTTCTTAACTCTTTGTGACATATTAAACATCACCTCGTCCTTTTTTAAACTCTTTAGATCCATCATTATGGTTTATTAGAAATTACCGGTGTTTATGTTCTGAAATATCTCAAGGTGCCTATTGAAATAAAGTTTTTACAAGGACATTTTTTTTACCGTTTTAGTTAGATAAATGTAAGACTGCAATTCTAAATTTAATATTCCTGAAGGTATAGTGATAGCTTTAAGTTTCTTACTGTATATGGGTATAAGTTTATACCTAGCCAAATACCTAAAGGTATTATGGTTATACCTTATCTTTCTGGGTCGGAAACATCTTCGTGTCTTCCTCGAGTATCAGAGGGTCGCAAGCCATTAGCTCCCTCTCGGGAGCAATATATCACGTCCTCTCGACTTTCGCAGCCACCATGAATACTTGACGCACACTCGAATTTAAACAGCGCCTGACTTTGATGGCCCTAATGCAGTTATACTGTTGATCTTTTGTGATGCTTCGATCTCTTTTTGTCTCATTGTTTACTTGGTATCAAATTAGATTTTAGGCACCTATTGAAATAATAAAAACAAATCTTTTAAAAACATCGGTATTGCTGTTCGATTTTTTTATATTTAAGTGGTAGGCTTTTCTGTGGGACCTTCAATTCCTCAAAATCCAACATTTGTACTCAAACTAAACGGCTGTATCTATGATACTTCTCTGCAGCTAAAACAAAACCGTTCATTTTTTTTATTTAGATCATAGAAATGGAGCAAAGAATCATATCATAAGATAGATCATAGAATTAGATTCAGAATAGAGAAAATCTTATGAGAATTAAATTAACGAAATGGCCTGACCGCCACGACAAAACGTAATGATGTTAAGTTAAAACTTTAAGAGAGCCTAAGTTAATGACTCCGTTGCATAAATCTTATATTTTTAGAAGGAGTTGCATGTTCAACAATAGTGCGGTAGCTTAATTAATATATGGAACTCTAAGTCAAGAGACTCTAAGGATCTTATTAGTACGTAGTAAGTTCACAAGTAACGTAAACCAAATAAGTCGGTACTTTTTAATTTTATGTTGGTTGTAGTTGTAAGAGAATAATGATTATGTATGTTAATATTGTTAATGTCTCTAGTAATTATGAAAGCTCACGATGATTCAAAACAAAGTGATAAAGGTAAAGACAGGATGATGATGATTACAGTTTGTCATATTTCTAAATATTTTACAACAATATAAGACATTTCTCTATCTATGATGGCAAAGTAATTATTTAAAATAGACGGACTGGACTACTGACAAGGGGCACCAGCATTGCGTTGCGGTCTGCGGTCATTCCATTCAGGTGCTCGTCATTCATAACTACTCACCACAATTGCCCATCGGACGCGTGGAAACGTTTAGCACAATTTGACGATTTGCTTGCACACAGAACATACCTACCATCTAACGGTTAACATGTTCAACGTGCAAACATGTGTATGTGTGCGCAGTTGGATTTCTGTTATTCAAATGTTTTATTTAGACAAGATTTATCATTTTGATCCTCATTTGTTTTTTATGATTCTTTTCGAAAAAGGGTCTATTTAATTTTAGCGTGAGATTTTGTTAACTGTTTTCAATGCTTATGAAAAAGTAACCCTAAATAGAGATACGTGTTTGCAAATGGAAAAAAATACTTGCATAATTACAAATATTGTAAGTACATTTGTAAGTTATATCTATATTATGACATTTATCTAGTATACTACGATTAAAATTGAGGTTTTTTTACAACAATCCATAATAAGTTTTAATAGGATTACATAGAACGATGATGTCTTAGAAATTGCAATACATAGGACTATAAAATTATATGAAGACCGGACGTGCCTATCATTCAATTAAGTAATAGGTACCTATTAACCTGGAAGAAGACAACCGCTTTGTAATTGTATTAAATATATTCTAGAAATGGTTTTGTGAAAAAGCAATTTTATTATGTTAATATCTCAGGCACGTCACTAAATAGTGTAATAAAAGAACAGTAATATAATTAAATTGAGAATCAATCTAAGCTGTGAGATATCAGATACAGTTTTTATAGAATTATATTTAAGCGATGAAACGATATCACAAACTTGTACCTCAATAGCTGAAATGAAGAACGATGAGATGGGTTGGTGGTCGCGTGGCTAGTCGACCGCCCGCCGCGACTATATCGCTATGCTAATTCAATTGTGTTACGAGAGCGGATAGCTGCGATCGCGATACTATCTACTCCGCCTGCATTATCATAGTAATGCGCGAGTCACTTCGGACGCCTCGCGGTCGCGCTGTTGCAACTGTCGACACGCAACTCGGTGCCGATGCAACACAACTATGTTTTTTTTTCGTACGATACTTTAAAAACATATAAATAGCAAGCTACTATTGTTATTTTATTAAATTACATAGTGGTACCTGTTCATATACTTACACTATTTAAAAATTTATATACCTAGTTGTAGATACTAACCGTAGAGGTAGCTGATAAGAAATTGATTGAGTTCTTTATGTTTTTTTTTATGTAAATGATCACGTAGAACAGAATATATTTTAGACAGATGAACAATTAATGACAATGTAGTGTGTCCATAGTGCAATCCATCTTAGTGACGCGAAATATAATAATCTACTAAACTAATATTATATAGTGATGTTACAACAGAAGCTTCAAGTAATAAAGTGCTGTTTAGTTTACCATGGGAGAGCTATGCTTCGACACCAATTGGTCGGCTTGACCGGAGTGATAGATACAACGCCCTTACAGAAAACCAGTGCCCAGCAATTCTTTCGTTACTTTTCACAGAGTAAGTGCGATTAATACGATCTAAAACCCCTTTTTCCATTTTTTCAGGGTACTCAAAGAGCGGCCACCCAAGTGTGACTCTTGAGTTAAAAGTGTTTATGGGGTACTCACTTACCATCAGGTGACCCATCTACTCGTTTGCTCCTATAATATAAAAAAGTGCAAAGTAGTCTTAAGTAATGAGTCAACGTGCTGCCACCAGTTGCCAACTTTTTTTATTTCACTTTAACAGCGAAATTGAAAAATTACGTGCTCGCCCATATCGTTATAACTAATGACGTTAACATCGCAGCATTCGTTACTGTAGAAACAAAAATGAGACGTAAATTATACCCATAATAGGTAAAATCAGTAAAAGAAACACGTCAATCTAATCGATTCGTCGAAGTGTTGAAAAGCGGCGAAAGAGTTCTCAGCGATCGTCCAACGCGGTGTAGTTCGCCTGCGGCATCTAACCGTACCCACACTTCTTACCGTCTATTACATTCATATAGCGGGATGCAAATTGAATTATGGGACTTTTTGTGGCCGTTCAATTGTGTTAGACCGAGGCTTTGTTCTTCCGCCGCTCGACTACGTGACGATAGAACTCTCAACACTCTTGTAATCGTTCGCTGTTTCACCTCACCCGCAATTGTTCGCCACTACCACTTTTCGTGACGCCAAATTATAGTCTTTTGTTTTATTATCTAATTGTTGGTATTTTTATAAGTAATGGACTTTACAAGTGTGGTTCGCGATGATGATTGAAAATACAAATGGTTGTGTGAACAACCTATACGTACAATTTAATAACAGAAATCGCTCACGAAAATCTTTCATTGTGGAAGTTTTAAGAAGAAAATCATGCTGTTGATGTGGTGTTGATTTTATAATTAGAAAATAGCAATCATAATATCTTTGACACTTTTTGTGATTGTTACCAGGCGAAAAATTATTATGAAATGTATGTAAGTAATCACTAACCCTCTTGAA